AGTAAGTAAACGATAATGTACCGCGAGGCGAGCACGCGAGGCAAAAGTCCTAAAAACCCAGATAAAGCGTACAACGTCCGAACAAGACAATAACGATCGGAATGATTCACGGTGGCCGATAATACCGGATACACCGTAACTGCGTCTCGTACTTTGCCCTTGCTGCCAGCTACGGCAAACGTCACCGTTGCCCGAGCTATCGCGTTAATACGAAACGCCAACTATCGCTTCATCGTTTTTTTTTTTTTTTTTCTTCTTCTTCTCTTTGCTTTATATTCGAAATAGGAGGTCGCGAGCCGCGCTTCTCGGGTCGCCGATTGCGGAAAAGCGAAGAGCAACGTCGACGTATGTGAAACAGAAATTCCTACGAGAAGCCTCGACGTTTCCTCGTGTCGCGTAAGGAACGGGGTATTCGTTGCCAGCCAGCGAATACCGGAAGCAATTTAAGCGAAATCGGTTCGTACGATTAGCCAGAATCGATTAGCGAGGCTAACCGCGGCGACTCGGTCCGAGGTCTCGACGCGTATAAGGTTTTCTCGGTCGCGTTCGTGAATCATTACTCGCGTGAGTCATTACGCGAGTCGGCAAAGGTGCAAAGTATCGCGCACACTTCGAAAGCGCAGCTGGAACCAGTAGAAAATATCTTTGAACGTCTGGTAACGACGAAAGCGCGAATCCAATTAAAAAAAAAAAAAAAGAAAAACGAATTTTTTGTGTTTTAATTCTTTTATTTCGTTAGTGTACATAGAAATTTATGGTATTCTCTGCAAATTAATTCGGAACGAAAGAAAAATACGGTAGAAATACGTACCGCTGGCCCTGAAAGGGTTAAGACGGTAGGGTCGATCGGTTTGAGGTTGGAAGACGGAGCCTGAACACCGGCTGCCAGGTCGATCGGCCAGCGAAAGCTATATCGGCTACCGTCTGCCGTTTACCGTATGCCGTCCGCCATCGATGGTCCACCTTCGTCGCTTACCGTCTGCTCGTTCCCAGAATCCTGTTCCTCTTCCGCCCGCACGACTGCACATCGAACCGCAACCTCGTCGGTGCATTCTGAACGGAGATGATTTTCGAAGAATATTTCTTCCGGTTCGAGGGAAACCGAAAGCGCGAGTAAAACGGAAGCGAATGCCGAGGGACGAAGGATCGCGAGGAGCCGGTTTTACGTGGTTTCGCAGGCAAAAGGGAAACCGAGGCAGAGGATGGAAGCGATGCGGAGAGTGGGTGAAGGGGGCTAGGTGGCGCGCGTGCGTGTATGGGTGCGCGTACGCGTGTAGGAGGAGGGTGCTGGAGGTAAAGGCGACGGCGCGGCGAGGAGCGAGCTACGCGAAAAAACCTTGAGGCTAGCCGGGTGGTATGGCCTCGACTTCTCTCCTCGGAGACCTTCGACGCGTTTCCGTTCGAAAGCAAAACGCTCGGTTTCGCGGAGGATGCGTTCGAACGACGCGTGTGGCCGTAATTCTTCCGCAAATTTTCAGCTATCAGAATTCACGAGATCGGTCATTTATTTTCCTCGCGTACGTAGGTACACACGCGGAAGAGATTCGATCGCGACCGTGGCGAGTTTAGCCAAGTACGTCTCCTTCGTTTTCTTTTTCCTGACGAAAATCTTTGGATCGCGCTGCGTCAGAAAACGGTAGCGATTTCGCGGCCCGCGTTATAGGTCGATGTCACTGGCGAGGGTGAGAGGGAAAGCGAGAACGAGAGGGAGAGCGGGAACGAGAACGAGAACGAAAACGAGAACGAGAGCAGAACGCGCGAGTTTGTCGAGTACAGGCTGCGCATAAACGCGCGTCATCGATAAATTATTCTCCATCGACGGTGGCAAGCCGTTACTATAAATCCTACGTTATCCGTGTGTTTACGTTACTTTCTCGTTGCACGATTAGCAATCGCGCAATAAGAGCATGTCGAACAAATCGGCTCTCCGAAGGGAAACACGCTTGTTCGCCGCGAAACGCGATGCAATATTCTTATCGTTCGAACGCAAATTACCTTCGTAGAATCGTCATTTCATTTTCATTTTCAATTTTCCTTTTCCTTTTCGTTCCCGTGGAGATAGGAAAGTAAAGAGTCGATTAGGATTCGCTAAGCGCGGACCAGCTAGAGAGGAATAAGTGGGTCGCGGCGTACGTAAGTACAAACTCCGGTCTGTCGAGTGAGTCGGTGGTGCAGCAGGCCGCAACTCGCGAGCTAATGTCGCAAGCTCTGACTAACGGACGCAATTTTTCTTAGCAAAACTAGTCGCGCTATCGGGGCACGGTTATCAAGCTGATACGTTGCAACAGCGGCGTACACCCACGCTTCGCTTTGCCCCGTTTCCCTTCGATTTTCATTCGATCGCATCGCGACCGCGATCCCGATGCCGAAAGTAGAAGGAACTTGAAATTGAAGCGACGCGGCGCGAGCTGCAACATCAGCCGGAAACAAAGAAAAGATCGAAGAAAGATGGGAACGAGTACGAAGAACGAGTCGAGTCAGGTTTACGACGTACAACTTAAAACCGTCCGCGTGATTCATAGCGTTCGTCGCGCATCGCCGGTCGAGCAAGATCGTTCTCTCTCTGGTGCGACCGGTTTTGGCAGCAGCCTACGATACACGTGTTTCCAATAAGCTTTTATCGTCGAATAAATCAGTCGCGACCTTATCGCGAGATTATGATGTTTGCACGCGACGACTCGCGACATTTGTCGTTCAAACGATTCTTTCATCCGGCTCGATCTTTAACCTTTGCTCTCTCCTTCTCTCTCTCTCTCTCTCTTATTTTTTTTTTCCACCGTAACCTCTTTTCCTACGTTTCTCTATGCTCGAATACGAGAAGCAGGTCAATCGCGAGCGTATTATACAGTTTCGCGAACAAAGCGACCGACACGACGACGGCTCGACCGCCAAACCGGCCAGGGGAAAATAAAAATACGAAAACCCATGACTCTGGTTCTGCGACTCGCGCGAGTCTCGACCTCGAGCGTTCCACGAACGGAGATCGTTGCTCGGCCGCGAGAGGAAATGCCGCAGTCGCGTTGAACCCAGCCGCGAGATTCGAACTCAGGACCTTGGACTAACCATTGACCTCGATAGCTATATACTCTACCTCGCGGTATGCAGCCACCAGCATCCTCTCTGCTCGAGCCGCGACTCCGTTCCTTCGCCAGACCAACCATCGCTATTCCTTCCTTCCTTCCTTCCTTCCGTCCATCCATCCGACTCGCTAACTACCTGCTAGACGTCTCGCGAAACAATTAGATCGATATCGGTGTATCCGAAAAAAGAAAAAATAAATGCGAGTTTATTCAACACGATTAATTGTTATTTAAGTTTCTCCATCGTGGCGGAGGGAAGAGGATGGAAAACGAGAGCACGCGTAAAGGGATGCGCGCGACAGGCGTACATAAACAGAGATGAACGGAGCGGCGTGGCTGTTGGCAAGCCTGCTCTCTCTCGAACGAGTGGGTGCAACGCCACCGCAGACCTTGAACGATTATTTTACAACGGAACTCGCTTAGCCCCGTCGTGCTCCATCTCGGCGCGACTCCGGCTTCGAGCTACGGCTGCGCGGAGCTGATAGCGGCGCGTTTGCCTTGCGAAAATCGCGAATTACACGGGTGTAAGCACAGCGAGATGATAAGAGGAGGAAAAGAAGATGGAAACGGTGATCGCGAAAACGATCGGCAAGCAACGTTTCCCTCGCCACCCGTTCGTTCGTTCGTTCGTTCGTTCCCGTCCGATGCTATTAATAACTCTACTGCGCGTTATTATCGTTGACGCAGACGGTTCATCGCGAGATCGCTCGCGAAAGGAAAACTCGATAGCCACGAGGAGAACTCGGAAGAGATGGAAAACGTGCCGCTTGTCCGTCCGTCCATCTCGTCCATTCGGACGTTCACCGACCACCACCACTACAAAAGCGCGCAATAACAGCAGCCAGCTGCCTGGTCTGGCCTGGTCTGGTCTGGTCTGGTCTGGTCTGGTCTGGTCTGGTCGACATGCGCCCGTCACATGTTCCACACTCCGAACGCAACTCCTGGGAAATTTATCGACGGGAATCGGAAAAGAGCGACGGAAGTGGTATCCCGCCGTCCCTTTCGAAATGAGAAACGCTGGTTGGCTCGTTTTCAAAATACTTTTTTAATAAGTTCGATAAAAAAAATTATATAAATCGAATACTTAATAACAAGGTAATAAGTATTATTATATATATAAACAAAGGGCTAAATACAAATGTACAGTCGTTACGCGTTATAAAGTTAGTCGTTAATGCAACTAATTTCACTATCGTGGTACAATGAAAAAAACTTAAACCTACGAGACGTAATCGCTCGGACACGCGTTATCCTTCGCTAAATGCTCTCCGATCGAATATTTCCACGAATTTGTTCGTTGGAAAACGAAGGAAACGCGCGAAGCGTGCACCGAACGAAAACGAACGAGCTTGAAGAAACTCGTTCGTTTTCCTTCGACGCGATTCTTACCGAGAATTCTTTCTCGCGAACGACGAGATCGAACGATCCAAGGTAACGGGACGAAAATCACGGAAGCAACGAAAAGTCGAAAGAACGGGTAGAACGAAACGGAAAGAAACTGGCGAAATAACGAAAAACCTCGAGGAATTATCGCGTTCCACGAACGTAACGTTAACTTAATTAAAACACCGCACACTCTGCGATCCGCGCTGGATTTCGAGAGCAAACGCCTCGACGTACGTTCGTCGAACGCGATAACGACCACAAACTCCTGCAAACCGTGTCCGTGTAAAAATATTGCCAAACGCGCTTTCGTTGGCATTTTTTCTGCAAGATTCTTTCGCGTCGCGCTAATACATACGCATATATACCGTAGAATGTACACATTAACTCGACGATTACATTCGATGATCGTCGTTGAAAAATAGATTTAATCCTTTCTGGGTGAGATCGCAAATTCTGCCCTTTCTAATTCGAATAGAACGACCAGGCGTGCGCGTATCTCGATAACTGTGTCGTTTTTCTTTTTTCTTTTTCTTATTTCTTTCTGTTCGGTGTTATGCGCATTTACAGACAGATATACATACGGGGTAATATTGCACTTTGGTGTGTTCCTTTATATCTCTACTTTACGGGTAACGGAGTAGAAACGTACCAATTTCTCTCTGGTCGTCAACTTTTGTCCCTTCATCCCCTTCCCTCACGCCCTCCCTGTCCATCCTCTCGTCGACGTACGCGACTCCTCCCTTTCGATCGTTCATTATTCGCGATGAAAAATCGAACGTAAGGGGTGCGCGGTTAGCCGAAATTATACTTCTCGACTACTCGCGCATCCCTCGTCGAATCTCGATCGTCGGACGTCTTTAGATCAACAACGACGACAAATAATTCACAGCCTATTAAATTGTAGGAAAAATAATTGGGAGAGCCGGGAAGGCGAAGAGAGACAAAATCTGTTTTTCTACTTTGGCTTTCAATTGTTTGGATTCAACTCCGTTTCGTGGAATATATATCGCGCGTTTCGCGTACGCGCCGCAACACGAATACACTCGAAACATTCTTTCTCGTTTGTTGTTCTCTTTGTGCGCGCGGGGTATTACACTTTCTTTCGACGGGGAGAAGAATCGAAGCAAGGAGAGAAAAAAAAAAAAAGGTGGGCAATAAATCTTTGAGCGTCGCGTATTTCCTCTCATTTTTGCCTGTCGCTCTGTTACGACTTACGAACTTACCACGATGTAAGCAGTCTCTCTCTCGACCATAGACGTACGTGTATACGTGTGTGTGTGTGTGTGTGTGTGTACCGTGTAAATGGCAGTAGCGTTAAAGAGCTACGAAAAAGTATACGAAACGAATATACCCGCATCTTTCGTTATATCGCCGTTTACAAAGAAATATAAAGAGCGGCGACATATCGAAAATTGGATTTGTTTCGTTTTTGGCAGTTGCGCAAATTGAGCGGACGAAATTAAAGAAAAGAAAAAAAAAAAAATGAAAGATACAAGTTTAGTTGGCAGTGTGCTCGATACGCGTGTTGCGACGACGACTGATATCGGCCCGTTAGACGGTTCGCCAAAGTACGGAAACAGCGAGAAAGGATTGAAAGCGGCCGCGTACACTAAGGCGTAACAAGTTCCAAACTAAGATAGTTCTAACTGTAAAGAAGAAAACATGAGATCAAACGTTTGATGCATCAAAGACGTTGGTTCCGAGGTTCGTCGTGGCGAACAAACGGATCGCGAAAAATCGAAGATCATCCTCGATCGTCGCATCGAGGGGCAGGGCGGTGCGAACACCGGCCACGACTGCCGCGTTCGTCGGTTAATAGTGCCGTACAAAGGTAAAAAAAGAGAATGCCTTAAATCTAATATACTACAGTACATGTACAAAAAAAAAAAAAAAGAAAGAAAGAGTCGGAGAGAAGTTTGCAACGCGAGAGGAACTCGCGGTCTCCCCTTCCGTCTCAAAAGCTGACCCAATCGTTGCCGACGCCGATAGTGGACAGCATGTCCGTGACGTCGGGGGTGCAGGAGAACTCGAAGTGCGAACCGCTGCTTGAACTGGCGGTCTCGAAGGTGTCCAGGTCGCTGGTTATCGTCTCCATGTCCAGATCGAGCTTAAAGTCGGACGGTTGTATCTGCAACAGGTCCGTCAGGGAGTAGAGGTCGGCCAGGCTGGGATTGTTCCCCGGTTCCTCGAGTTTCACCACCGTCGCGGTGACGTTGGTATCGTCGAGGACCGCGTCCTCGTTTATCGTCGCGGTGGTTCCGGTGTTTGTCGACATCGCGAGATCGGACGCGGGCACGGAGGACGCGACGGTGAGAATGGTGGTGGTCGCGGTCGTTAGAGAGGTCGAATTGGACGACGAGCTCGAGGACGTTCGTTCCAATCCGTGCATGGTGGCTCGCGACGGTATCGTCGTGGTCGTGGTCGCGGTGTTCGTTTCCATTTCCATGTCCGTGTCGACCGACTCGATCGGTTCCTCTTTCACGAAGAAGCCGGAACGATGGCAGGGTGTTTGCGCGCGGTAACTCCTGTCGCTGATCAAACCGTCGATCCCTTCGACGGTGGACGGGAAGGTAACGGGGATGTTCGATGAAACGGGACCGACCGACGATAGCAGTCGATCTTTCGGTTCGAACGTCGACTCGTAGTCCATCTCCAGGTTGGCCTCTCGCTTGATCTTTCCGGTTCCCTTCGGCGTGCCGAGGTTGGTAGAAGCGGAGGCGGAGGCGGAGGCGGAGGCTACGGCAAGTCGAGCGGAGGAGCCGCATTCGAGGAAGTTGTCCTCGTAGAAGCTGGCAGACTCCGGGGAATCTGGCGTGACGCAGGATGGACTGCTCGGTATTTTAGCGGTGACGATCGGCGGTGCGGGGGTGTAATCGAGCGAAGATCGTTTGTCCAGCGCTAATCTGACCTTCAAACGTGACACCGGTTTGCTACCGTTCGTATGCGTCTGCAGTCTCTTAACTGTACTAGCCATTCCGTTGTTCGTCTGCATGTTGTTGTTCGTGTCGTTTCGCGACTGACCTTTCGACGTACCGACGCTGATCGCGGAGGACAAGAGGGAAGAAGTGGTCGCCAATGATTTCCTCGGTTTCTTGACACCGTCCTTCGTCTTAGGACTGACCGAAGCGCTCGGCTTCGACGTCTTTTTCCTCGGTCGATATTTGTAGTCGGGATACTCCATCATGTGCAACTGCCTTAGCCTCTCGGCTTCCTCGATAAAAGGCCGCCTCTCCGCCTCGTCCAACGTTTTCCAACGTCTCCCTAGCCGCTTGCTGATCTCAGCGTTGTGCATGTCCGGCTGAATCTCGCATATTTTTCTTCGCTCGATCTGCGACCAAACCATGAACGCGTTCATCGGTCTCTTTATATGATTCGGATTGTTCTTCTTCGTCTGAAACAGAATAACCAGAACATCGAATCATCCTGTTCGCTCGAGACGCGTTTTCATACCGACTGGCTGCAACGCGTTTCGCGAGGATGCAACTTTGTCGCGAATAGATGCGATCGCGCGTTGACAAAGAATATAAGACAGAGAAAGAGAGAGACGTAAGAAGCAGGCGTGCACGGAATCGAAATCGATGGCAAATTACAAATTGCGTTTCTTATTAGACGGCGGTGTGCGGTTATAGAAGCGCGGATAACACGTACCGCGCGCGCGTTCTGCCCATTATACTTTTAGATATCGTCGATTGGCCGACACGCAGCCGAGTGGAAATCGAAAGGCTGGATATGTAGGTTAGCAAGGTGCGACGACGGCTGCTACCACCGGGACGCCAACAACCACGATCAAACGATCCGAAATTAAACCTTTTTATCGTTCAAGTCCTACTTTTATTCTTTTTTCATTCCGAAGACTAACGTTTATAAATTAATCGGTGAACAATTTATCGCAGCGCAATTAATCAAACGAATTAATAAGTAAATGACGTAAATGACGTTATTTATCTAGCATTTGTGGTTATCTAGGTTCGCGTAGTTGCGCGATCAGCTGACGATACCGTACGATCGGTATACGCATATACCGATGCGTCACGAGAAACGGATCTCCCGAGAGTTTCGATCGCAATCCGAGTGATTTTTCATTTTTTTTTTTCAATGAAATCAGCGTTACATCGCTTCGTTCTTTTTTTTTTCCAACTTCCATCGTACTCGGGCGGTTATTATCGTCGGTTCGTAACAGGTGTGCAACTGTGCAACACGTATCGATTCGCTGAATAGAAAGTATCCACGCGGTCGAAAGATCGAAATCTAACGTGGTCTCGTTGCGAAAATCGCGTTTCCTTCGACCCTCGCGAATCGAGACCGAACGTTTACGTCGCGAATTTTAGATGGAAATATGAAAAATAAAAACTGACGATATTTCGTGGAAAAATGGTAAATTTTTTAGATTAAGACGAGTGTAAATTCAACAATAACGAAGCAGCTAGTTGCAAGAGTAAATAACGTTGGCTAACAAAACATGGTGAAATAAAATTTTAAAAAAGAAACAAAACAAGAAGAACGTCGAGAAGAACGTAAACAGAAGTTAAAGCGATCTAAGAATAACGGACAAACGACGAAAATAAACGATTCGCTTTTTTTCGCGGCTGTTGGTTCGCCGCGAAAATAAACAGGTACGAACGAGGCAGCGTTATCGGGAAAAACAAGCGTTCTTTACACCTTTCCAACGTATCGAACGAAAATTGATAATCGAATCATTAATTAATCGGCATCGAACCACCGAATTCCCTATCGACGCGATGTTTACAGTGTATTTTTAACCGAACTCGGCCTGATATTTTATCAGCGTCGAAAACAAATTGGTCAACGCGATACGAGAAAGGAAACAAACAGTACGTAGTCAATTTCTTCTTTTTTTTTTTTTTCCCCCAGGGTGTCGTCCGAAGGATGGGCGCCGTGTAGTTTGAAGTGAAAATTACCTGGGTGGCATCGGAGTACGGCGTTGCTGAATTTTTATCCACGAGCAACGATCCAAACATGGGTATACCCGAGCTAGACGGGCTGTCCTGTTGCTGTGGCACCATTTTTCGGCCGGACTTAATTTTTCTTTTATTTTTCTCACTTCACTTTTAATCCGACGGTCACACTGCACTCGGACAACTCACGTCGCACCAGTTAAATACCCTCTTCTTCTTCTTCTTTTTTTTAATAATATAAATCCTTTCGCTGCTCCTCTTCCGTTTCTCCTTACTCCGTTGGTAAAACTCAAAGGAGACGACTAGGAGCAACGCGATTGATCATCGATCGCGATTCAAACTAAAATCTGACGATCGCGCGACGCTGTCTTTCGCGAGATGAACGCGCGAGTTTTCTTCCGAAAGCGATCGCTTTCGAGGAAACGCGGTCCGCTTTGCACTTTCCACTGCACACCAGGTGTACGGTACAAATTCGCGCGATCTAGAATTCGGTGAATTCGCGTTAATTACGATCCGACGGGTATTCGTCGATCACGAGACATTATCGATCGACGCCGTAACGACGCACGCCCGACGAGCGCTCATTCGCAACTAGCTCGCCCTCTCGTCAGCCGCGTTACCTCTATACTACGCTCAGCTGAGCTACCAACTACCCCCACTCGTTCGCGTAAACACGCTGCCTTTCCAGCCAGTCACGATGCAGCCGTTCTTTTGTGTCCCTCTTTAACCCTGAAAGCTTGTCCGTTGCTCTCTTTACTTCTTTCTTTCCTCTTTCTTCCTTTTCCTCGCCGCCTCGCACCATGATCGACCCTCACCCTAGCGCAGTCAAATTCAAAACTTTCGCGCATCTTCGGCTAATTAATCGTATCGTTTCTTTTTATAAAATTCTATTTATTTATTTTTATCACGCCGACGATCGTTATCGCTCGTCTTCCTGTTTTTCCCATTCATTTTCAAATTGATCGACGTACTCGAAAAACGGGAGATTATCGGGCGCATCGATATTCGTCGGTAACAGCATCTTATCTCGTCTACGCGATCGTCTGCGCGATAATCCCGCGTTCGCAGTTCGTCTCGTTATCGAGCGTGTTGTTTTTCGCCGGTAATGTCGCAAACAAACAGCGATTGGAAAATTGGTCAGTTTTTAAGGAGTTTGCTTGTTTACCGGATTCGCGCGAAAGGTGGGGGAGAAGCGACGGGAAAGCGTAGATCGCGATCGCCACGGTCGTCGAAATCGTTGACCTATCCGCTCTGTTCAAGGTCCGCGGCGTAGTCGAAGGAGCGAAATGGAATCGAGCCAGGAGGCAGGAGCCAGGAGTCAGCGGAGTCGAGGAAACGAGCGAACGAGCGACGTGTGCGCGATCGGTGGGAGCGGCTGTCGCCGCTTAACCGGATGCTACCTGCAACTCGGGAATACTAAACGATCCTGCTGATCGATGTATTTACCAGTTAAGTATTTCCGACGACGGAGTTCGCACGCTCTCGAAAAGATTCGCGCCAGCTTTCGTATTTATCGTACAGATGAACCGTAGTACTGTAGCAACGAAAATAGGAGAAACGGCGGTCAGATAGGTTTCGAAAGGTCCGCGACGAGAGATCGCGGAACACCCGGGCTGCATTTCACCCGTCTGAGTCAGCGCGTATCGCGCGAGTCGCGCGACTCGTTGCGCAATTATCGCCCGCTGTCCGGAACGAGTTGGCCCCTGCCGCACTCTTTCCGCGCCGTGCATAGATTGCCCTCTGCCCTTTCGTGGACCCTGTTGCGCCATCCGATCGCTGATTCACCCTAGACGTCCGTCTTTGACCAATCATCCTCCCAAACCGCGTCTCCTCGATATCGATCGACTCTCGAGCGTATCGCTCACCTTTCCTCGATCGATCGGCCCAGACAGATAACCGACATTATCAGCAAACGAGCATTCTATCGTTGCACTTATATCTCCCTGTCTGTTTTTCACGTCCCAGACATCTATGATCGATCGGTGCGAAATTTTCAAAACACCGAAAAAACTGCGTCGATCGACGCCGATATACCTGTCTGCAACCTCGGGGGTGGAAAGGAGAAAGGGGAGAAGGAGAAGAGGTAAAAAAAAAAAAAAAAAAACTGGCGGATGTTGCGTGGTGTCCCGTGAGAACCGTAAGAAAAACGATCCACCGTCGAAGGTTTCCGAGAGCCGTGTGCATACGGTACGCGTGTGTTCTTATACAAGAGACGCGCATATGGTACGCCGAATATACGCAGGATCGTGTCGGTTGCCGTTTACCGAACGAGCCCTTTCAACGGGCCACGCAACGCGAGACTGCTTCGAAGGAAGGATGTGGTCGAGCCGTAGAGAAGAAGCAGGTGTTTTCTTCCGTTTCGGATCGTTCGCCGGGCCTGGTCGGTTCACCGGCGAACGATAAGGACCACACGGATCCGTTCGCGGTCTAAAATCGTTCTACGACGTCGAACGATCTCGCTCGATCGAGAATCGATCGAAATCGACCGTTTCCTCGAGGCCCGCTCGCTTACGGACTCGACGATCGCAAACTTATCATTACGAGCGGACCAAGCGTACCTGGAAACGGATATATCGGTCCAGCTGTTCAGCTGTCCAGCAGCTGTGTACTTCACCTGCCGGTGTATCGCTACCGATGCGCCTGCGTACCACCACGCGCGACGCACCTATTTCACCTTCCTGCTTCTTCTTCTTCTTCTCCCGAGACGCGCGAATCGCCCTTCTATATGTCTTTCAACGGGAAAAAGGGGATGTCTTCTTTCCGAACTACCCCTTCTGATCTCTCCCTCTGTCCCTCTAATCTTCTCGCCCTTCTCGTCTCTTAGCCAGAGATCGTTCAGGGGACGAGAAACGTCGAGGGACGATTTTCAGACAAATTGTACTCGTCACGGGGAAACGCTTCTCGTCACGGTACAAGAGTCGAGAGACAATGATTTTACGTATCCGGCTATTTCGTCCTACTACACGCTCTTCCTGCTTCTTCCGTCCTTTCTTCGCGAATCCATCGACAAATTGCACGAAACTTTCCACACGTAAACTCCATTTTATTGGTTTGTTCGAAAAATTGGACAGGTGTGTAACATCGCGAGACGCTGTACACCTGCGCGCGTAACCGTACATCGGCTCTACCGTTTCGATAAGAAGTGGAGAAAAAGAAAACCCTTTCGAGCTTTCCTCCTCGACGTCTTGTAGAAGCTTCCAATAGGGAAGAGACACGTATACCCGTATCGCTTGAAAAACTTTCGCGAGGAAATTAAAAACCGTGTATAGCTCCTTGAAAGTATCGACGCGTACCAAACGATACGTTTTCATATCGAATCGTTGCGAACGTGCGAAAGTGGGTGCGGGCGCGGCTGCTGCGGGTACCCCGATAGATGAAATATCACATCTTTTTTTCTCATCGACCCTGTATTTTCTGACCAACAGTCGCTGAACGTCTACCGAGTCTCTTTACGTCAAATGAGGTTAGCTATCTTTTAACCAGTGCAAAATTTCAATTTTAATTTCTCCTCCTAAAGAAATTTACAAATCAGTAGCTACAGATGCAAAAAGAATGGACATAGTTTGTTCTCTATGGGGTCCCGCATACCCCAGACAGTCATACCCCGGACCCAGCGCCGCCTATACAAAAGTGTCTGAAACTACTCGACGATTTACCGACTTATCGACTGCTTCCCGCTAGTCGGTATTACCGACTTACCGAGCAATCCTTCAGCGGTCGGTAAATTGTAGAGTAGTTTGCGGTGTTTCGGTATAGGTGGCGCTGTAGTCAAACGGAAGAGTACTAAGTAGCAGTAGGTAACCTCTCACCAGCAGGTAAGACAGTTTTCTCCGCCACAGTGGTCGATCAATTAAACCTACCTTGTTGCAAAAAACCAAAAAATATATTAATGCTGTTAAATTCTTTTTGTACGATCCCTAAGCTTTCCGAGCATAGCCACGTAACAAAGTTAACGTAATAACAATCGACGTATACTGAAATTTCATTCCATTAAAAAAAACCGCTGAACGAGCTACGAGTGAATACGTTTCGATCAGAAATTTACGGAAAGCAATGTTCCCTCGCATCGACTTGGCACTCGCGACTATTTTCCATTAACAATGCTTCAGGATAACGTATGATCGATTTTCCTCGAGGCGGAAGGAATCGAATCGGACTTTTGTTTAAAGGGAAAGGGGTCGTAAGTTTGAAAAGACTCCGTTCGCGATCATGATCGCAACCCGTTCTCGCTTCCGGTCGCTACAACCACCGTTACGTTAGTCATCCACCCAGATATACGCGTATCTACTCGATTTCTTTTCCTTCTGACCGCGCACGATCCCGTCACGCTCGATCAAGTACAAAAACGATAAATTCTAATTACAGGACAACAATGTGACGCGGATGCACCGAACGTTCCGTGAAAATATCGCGTTCCTCGGGGGGGGGGGGGGGGGGGGGGGGAAGATGAGAAACGGAAACGAAGGCGGCGCGGCGATTGATAACACGCATATGTAGATCACAGATGAAATTTAGGAAAATCGAGCGACCATTTGACCGACTCGTAACTTTCTCGTCGACTAGTTTCTCCTGGAACGCAGAGCCCTTGGAAAATCGTCTCCCACGAGAGAGAATAACCCTCTCGGAAATGTAACTGGAGCGAAGCTACTTTGCCGCTAACGTAGCTACGAGTTTACCGATTTCCCAACGAATCAATTTCGAGAAACCGTTCTCATAGGAAAACGCGACTCGTATCTACGTTACGCCTTATAATCAGTTAGTCAGATGGCTAACTACTCAAATCATCCCCCCTCGATCTGTAAATCTCGTCGAAATGAAACTACGTCTAGAAGAAGAAATCCGTTTGCTATTTTCCCAACGAGTTTAGAAATTGGAGAAACGTCGTATGGTACGTTTAAATAAATCAAACAGCTGCGACGAGCGTATCAGATTGATTTCCAGTTTATGTCTCGACAAATATCCCATAAAACTGGACGGAGTTGTTTCGTTTTAGCGCCTAACGATATCTCTTTCTCCGAAGACTTCGATTCGTCTGTGAACGAGCCGCGTATAAAATGAGAATCGCGAGGTAGAATGAAACGAAAAATGTACGAGACTCTCTTTTCTCTTTCTTCGATTTTATTCGTTCAATAACGACGGAATCAAGAAGGTAAAGAGAAACTAATCCACGCAACGAAAATTGAAGAGAAAAACACTTGTCGAAGCGTTGACGTTTTCCTTAGCTTCTACTCTTGTCCGACTTTTCTTTTCTTTTCTTTTCTTTTTCTCCCCGCGTCGGCCAATAAATTGATAACCGTTTAGAGCCTATTTGCAATAATCGGAAGCGATTAAGAAGAGGGAATTCGACCTCTTCTCTTCGACACCGTTTCCCACGTTGAAAACCCTCTTCATCCCTGCGAAACGTGATCGCCGGAGAGCGCCAGTCTGCTTCGAATGCGTTCATAACGCGTCATGCCAGCGACACGGCTATTTGTTTCGTACGAGCGGCACAACCTTTCGGGATATTATTAAAATGGGCTATCAGGTGATTTGCATGCCGACTAATGCTAAACGGCGCCCTGGGAAACGGACTGCGACCGCATAGGCGCCACTATAAACGCTAAGACGATTCACCGCTTCCCACGAGACGGGAAGAATTTCGTGATACGAAAAGAAAAAGGGGGTGAATCAAAAAAGGAATTTTCTTCCAGGTCGCTTCCGTCAAACCGCTCTCGTTTTTTCCTTGATGGACCAAGACAAATTCGAGAAGGCTTTCTTAATATTTACCGTATCAAAGTATTTACATTACAATGAAAACAGACGGACCGACGAGCTTACGCTGATCGAAAAATAACATATATACGATCACCGTCAACTCCTTTCCGAAAGGGGCTTCGAACCTTTTTCAGATTCTTTCGAATTGGAAAACGATCCGAAGAGACGAATGACCCTCGGACGCGGATTAAAAAGGAAAACCGTAAGGAAAACGCAAACACACAGTCGATGGATTAAACGTGACTAACGACCGATGGGTTTCTAGTTTCTTTCTTTAGATTCGCGAAGTGGTTTACCGGTTTACAAGTTCCTCGCAATCTTCTTCCCATTTCTCTTCTCGCTAAACTCTGGTTGTTACGATTAAACGAAATAAACGAAATACAATGGTTAAAGAAAGTAAAAGTAAGGGAGGAAAGGGTGAAGTTTTAAAAGAAAATATCCTGGTAAGAGTAAAATGGAGAAGAAATAAAAAAAATAAAGATCGAGATCGAAGGGAGAAATGGCGTAGGTTCGCGTCAGGCTGGTCGGTGGTTAACGGGTGGAAGGATGCCGTGGAACACGGGGGTGAGACGGCGCGAGCCTCGGAACGGGGTAGTACACGGATCCGTTTGATTGGTCGACGATGTTTAGATATTACGGGGTGGGGATAGGGATGAAACGAGTGCCGCAAAGTCGCGGGCTTATATAAACCGTCAACGAAAGATACGGATTCGCAGAGCTTCGTTCTCCGTTCACCAACTTACTGATCCGTCGCTTAAACTCGCTACCCGTTTATCGTCTTCGATAAGCCACCGTCGTGAATCGAGGTAAGTGCACTTCCGTCTTGTTTGTTCCGTAAACGAGAATATCCGTTCGTCGCGACCCTCGAAAAAAGGTTTCTCCGTTCGGTGGACAAACGTCAATCGGACATTCGCGACCTCCTTTCCATTTATTTTCAGAAAGGTCGCCTCATCGACGAGAGAGCTTTCTTTCCTCCCTTTTTCTTGCCGTTTTCCATCGAAACGACCATCGTGAAATTATTAAAAAAAAGTGCCTCGCTCTTTTATTACGAACGGAACGATGTTAACAACGCGAATTGCTTTCGTCGAACGGGAAATTTCGTTTTCACGAGGAAAGCGCGGTCCTTTCTTTTTCTTTTTATTACGAACATTCGACGATAAACGTACATACGCGCGTAATGGCGAGATACGCGGAAACAAATGGAAATTGAAAAGTCGATATTCAGATAAAACTTGTCAATTTTGACGAAAATAAACCGTGACGCTTCCATCCGTTTCGCGATACGATTCACCTATGCTCTATCGAAGCGCAATTTCCATGGTTGTAACATTTTCTTTCCAACAACGTGTGAATAAAAGCGGCCTCGTTTCGATGCGTTGTTTCACCCGGAGGAAAATAAACGCTCATTTCGCAGCTTTACGAGATTACCTGCTTGCGACGCATCGTTTCGACGCGGAAAATGTCTCGCGCGAACGAGCCTGCAAATAGCGCGTAAACGTAATCGAAAACGCGAAGAGGATAGATCGGTGATCGTAGCCACCGGATCGAAGCGATGGCAAATTTTCCTCGGGAAAAATAGATAACTGACGTCGCGTTCGCGTTTAATCAAACGGTATTCCGATTGCTCGTAAAACGGGAAACGGAAAGCGGAAAAGGGAGAACGAAGGGGACGCGGTTAAACGAGAGAAAATGGGGAACGGAAGAGGAGGAAATGGCGGTAGTAGGAGTCTCGAATACTCGAGACGAGGTTTCTGTTCGTTCGGGCGTACTTGCACTTTCCGATAACGATTTCGAGCCTTAACTGACCACCAAGACGATATCCTTTCAATTTAGATTCAGACTCGATTGTCCTTCGTGGGCTAAATCTGAACGAGTCTTGTCCGACGGTACTCGGAGATCCTTGAAAACGACAGCCAGTGATTTTCCTTTAAACTGATTGAACATTGTGCTAAATATTTGGGGACGACTGAAATCATAGGTCAGAGATGAATTACTGTAAAGTCTCGTATTCGCGTAGAGGGAATTTACACGTTTGTTCGCCCTTAACGAACACGCGTGAAAACGTATGGTCAACATCAATTATCGGAAGCGACGAATCCAATTATCCCCAGTTACGGCTATTCGGCACGCTCAAAGCCACTCGTGATTGCCTTTCCCTGATAAAATACTAATTGAACAAATATCGATGCCGGAAAAAATCGCAAAGCAGCCCTATCGGGTACGAGTCGCTGGTTTTCAACGAATGAGAAATTTGTTTACGATAAGCGGGCTGTAAGCGCGAATCGCGTACAAAGCATAATCACGGTGTTCGTACACAAGTACACGTATATACACCGAGTCCAAACACGTGTCCGCTCTCGAAACTTGTCCGCTCCCGTCTTGAATAGTTTGTTAGTCGCTTTGCTCCAACGCGCCCATTTTCCAACTCCTTCAACAAAGTTCAACTACAAAATCTTGCTTCTCCCTCCCTCGTTGTTCTCAGATTCATCAACGTCTCCTCTTTTCTTACAGATCCAAAGGCAACGAGGATGCAGCAGGGAATCGTGCCATTGTGCATATTCGTGGTGGTAATCGGCCTGTTCGCCTCGTCGAATTTATCGACGGATGCCGCGCCGTAAGTATTTAACATTACCTTTCCTAAAGAACGTTACCTAAAGAAACAGGTGTAATCGTCCTCCGGTGTATTTACGTTCGAAGTGAACGCAAACACGCATCGGACAGCGTCGCGGAGTTTAACCCAGTTCCATTTGACGAGGACGAGTTCCTTCCCTTGTCTAACAGTACATTGTCGTCGCTGTTTCCGATGAAAAACTCGAATCGGTTCCGTGGTACACGTTTCTAAAAGGGGAAATTCTCGCGTTACAGGCAACAGAGTTACTGGAATCAAGTCGACGAGGAGGATCCGGAAGCGTTGATGGAGTTCATAAATCGACTCGGTCGCACCATAATGCTCAATCCAGAAGTGGAAAAGTAAGTGTACAATTTATCGGCCTGTTGCTTTTCTTCTACTTGGAATATCGTATAAATTTATGAATCGTTCTGCACAGTAACAAACGTGGACTGGATTTGGGTTTGAGCCGTGGATTCAGCGGCTCTCAGGCGGCGAAGCATTTGATGGGATTAGCGGCGGCTAATTATGCTGGAGGACCCGGTCGACGACGCCGTTCCGAACAACCCTAGATCAGTGGCAACGTTCACCCTTTTCCTCGATTCTTCTAACAATCTTCTTCTCTTCTTTTCTTTCCATACTTTCATCCACTTTTTCCCCGAGTAAGTACTCCGCTTTCGTTCAATTCTTTCCTATCGAGTCGTTGAAACGTTAGCGCATAGTTCGTCTATTTTGCGTGATAATAATTATAAAAATGGATACGGAATGTAAAGAGGACGATTGATAAATTCATCTATGTAAAATTGATCGGCAAGGACTATACGTTGAAACGTTGAAATGTTCGAGCGTAATTTAAATGCATTCGACGCTCTCCAGACGTAGAAATAGTCTATCTTACTTATTATTCACAATTTTCTTTACGATCGCATCGATCGTATCTCAAGTATAGTTTAATTCCGTTGAGAAAATGATTCTCTATATATATATAAAGCTGTACAACTATAGGTCTCTGATGCATCATAGTCACCAATGCGAATATTGCAAATAAAAAGGTTACAAAAACATTTCTTGTCTGGTTAATCGATTCACTCATATCCTAATTGCATCCAACCTTTTCAGTCCTTCAGTCTACCATCTTCTTTCATTTATTATCGCAAAGATGTACTTACTTACTAGATACAGTGGGGTGCAAAAGTATTCGCACACCGTTTAAAAGAGAATACTTCATTTAAAATTGGACCAAATGACTTGGGGTTTTTTGAGAAGCTATACAAATTAATTTTAAGATATGTGTTTATGTCCTTTTTACAAAATTACGATGAATCGACTTCGATTCGTTGACTCGTACTTTCGAAATTTACATTCGCGCTACTGTAATGCACAAATAGATATCGATCTATCGATACAACTGTACAAACAGAGTAAGTTGTGCCTGAAATGAAAGAGAAATTTTTTAGAATTTGCATTCATTCGTTTTTCATCGCAACAGGTGCGCATGTTTCTATCGTTTCTCGCGTTTACGATGGCCTTCAGTGCCGATATGCAAAGAGTGCATTCGTATTTTGGGGTCCTCGACACCCCAAGATATCAGGCCAGTGTGTGGAAATCGCGGGGTTCTTGAAACCCCAATTGGGGTCCTCGGAACCCCGGTACAGCAGAGCGCTGGCGCCATCTGTCGGCGCAAGTCGCAAACTAGTCTCTACTGTTCGGGGGTTCCGAGGACCCCATTGGGGTTTCGAGGGCCCCTTGTTCCTACTATGATGGGGTTCTGAGGACCCCTGTTGGGGTTTCGAGGACCCCGCTGCTCAACTATACTGAGGATCCGAGACTTACATGAAGCTAGTCGAAAGGAATAATGAAACATGATTGTTTTTAATTTTTCTAAGTGTATTTAGTTTGTAAATCGTTTGTGATTGATTGCGAATGTATTTTTAACGTCTGTGACAGATTGGTTCATTTGTAATTAACAATTTTATTTCAATCATGATGTGAGTCGAAACTTTTTAATAATTTTTTATAATAAACAGATTTTGTGATAACTGATAGCTATAATTAATTGGAAATCGTTTGTGATTTACAAATATATCATTTTCATTGTTTGTGAGTGAAAAAGTTCTTAATTATTTACAAGTTTGTTTTATAATAAATAATTGTAGTGCGCAATGGGCTACAGATCCAATCGTACCCATCGCTACCTCGAACAAGCGAGTTTCACGATTTGTTCGTTTTTCGTTCTTATATTTCGCTAGATCCGGTCAAATCCATCACTACTCCGAACAAGCGAGTTTCACGATTTGTTCGTTTTTCGTTCTTATATTTCGCTAGATCCGGTCAAACCCATCACTACTCCGAACAAGCGAGTTTCACGATTTGTTCGTTTTTCGTTCTTATATTTCGCTAGATCCGGTCAAATCCATCACTACTCCGAACAAGTGAGTTTCACGATTTGTTCGTTTTTCGTTCTTATATTTCGCTAGATCCGGTCAAATCCATCACTACTCCGAACAAGTGAGTTTCACGATTTGTTCGTTTTTCGTTCTTATATTTCGCTAGATCCGGTCAAATCCATCACTACTCCGAACAAGTGAGTTTCACGATTTGTTCCTTTTTCGTTCTTATATTTCGCTATTTGCTTCTGGGTTCCTGAGAACCCCAAGATTGCATTCGGGGTTCCTGAGAGCCCCAAGAATGTATCCGGGGTTCCTATGAACCCCAGAATCGTGTTCTGGGTTCCTGAGAACCCCAGAATGGTAACAGGGGTCCTTGGCACCCCAAAAGGATACTCGGGGTCCCTGAAACCCCAGATACCATAATGTCGATATGCAAAGGGAGTCATTTATGCTTTGGGGTCTCCGAAACCCCAGATACCATAATGCCGGTATGCAATGATAGTCATTGGTGCTTCGGGGTCCCTGACACCCCGGATAATATCAGGACCGTATGAAGGGGGCACAACCAGATAAGTTTTTTCCAGAGTTTATTTAATTTACTTCATTTATTTTTTTTTGCTTATTAAATAAGCTCATCAAATCGGATAACATTTATGATTATATCCCTCTTCTGGGTCCCAGCCGAGGACCCCATTTATTATACTTTTTCCAGTTATTTATATAATTTTATCCCTCATTATAGGCCAAGGCCATCTCTGCATCCCTTACATCCCTGCATTCTTTTCATCCTTACATTCTTTTCATCCCTACATTCCTTTCATCCCTACATTCCTTACATCTCTTCATCCCTTAAATCCCTACAATATTATCAACCCTACATTCTCTTCACCCCTACATTATTTTCATCCCTACATTCCTTACATCTCTTCATCCCTTAAATCCCTACATTATTATCAGCCCTACATTCTCTTCACCCCTACATTATTTTCATCCCTACATTCCTTACATCTCTTCATCCCTTAAATCCCTACAATATTATCAGCCCTACATTCTCTTCACCCCTACATTATTTTCATCCCTACATTCCTTACATCTCTTCATCCCTTAAATCCCTACATTATTATCAGCCCTACATTCTCTTCACCCCTACATTATTTTCATCCCTACATTCCTTACATCTCTTCATCCCTTACATCCCTACATTCTTTTCATTCCTACATTCCTTACATCGAGAATTTCGTGAAAATTTCGAAAATACAGCGCCCCCTAGCGGAAAAAATGTGAACTAAAATTTCGAAGTCGAATCAGCGCCATCTGGTTTCCAAAAAAGGAACTAAACCATGCCGAAATTTTGGCCCTCTAGCGGAAAAAATGCGAACTAAAATTTCGAAGTCGAATCAGCGCCATCTGGTTTCAAAAAAAGGAACTAAACCATGCCGAAATTTTGGCCCTCTAGCGGGAAAAATGTGAACTAAAATTTCGACCTCGAATCGGCGCCATCTGGTTTCAAAAAAAGGTACTAAACCATGCCGAAATTTTGGCCCTCTAGCGGGGAAAATGTGAACTAAAATTTCGACCTCGAATCAGCGCCCTCTGGCATTTAAAAAAGGAACTAAATTTGTACGAGACTTTACTTACCTTTACTTACCTTTACTTACCTTTACTTACCTTTACTCGAACCAGTTTTTGTAGTATATTATTATATTTGTAATATATTTATTGTAAGGGTGGCAGGGGTGCAAGAGATGAAGGGATGTAAGGAAAGTAGGGATGGAAAGAATGTAGGGATGAAAGGAATGTAGGGATGAAAGGAATGTAGGAATGAAAGGAATGTAGGAATGAAAGGAATGTAGGGATGAAAAGAATGTAGGGATGAAAGGAATGTAGGAATGAAAGGAATGTAGGGATGAAAAGAATGTAGGGATGAAAAGAATGCAGGGATGAAAAGAATGCAGGGATGTAAAGGATGCACACGGGAGTAATAAAATCAACACGTTCGTCCTAATGAGTTTATTCAATAAGCTAAGAAGATAGATAGAGCAAATTAAATGAACGCAGAAAATAAAATAAGAGTATGTCTATGTTTAGCAGGTATATCTGCACTCCTTGGCGGTCGCTATAAGACTGATGATGTTTCACTTCGCTCTACGTCTAACGGTTGATAATGGTACTGCAGCCAGCTGCCTTTGTTGGAATCAGTGGCTGTATTATTCGGACTAACCTTTCTACCGTCGCGTTCCTCGTGACGTGGACTATTTACACACTCGTTTTTTATTTCACATGACTGCACGTGGTACTCTTCGCTTCCTCGAATTATCGTATCTCTTTCGTTTCTTTACCATCCACACGTTTATACAGTTTCCGAAACATTTCTCCGACGTTGCCGAGGAACGAGCGTGACGTCGATCGACCGATCGAACGGCGTCGAACAGTCGAACCGAATTATAATCGATAGGAAGAAAAATCGAATTTGCAAATCGCAAAACCTCGATCGTAAGCGGGATACTTGATGAAGTTTCGAATCAGTGTGCGTGCTCGAAGAACGATGCGTGATTGGGTAACGATCTCGCTACTGGAGAGCAAACAAGAATTTAATCGATAAGAAAACGTAAAGCAAACGTAGATACGCATGGATCGAAGAGTCGAAGAACGATCGTGTCGTGGTCATCGGCAAAGTAAGTTACGTATCGGTATAATCGTAGCGATGCTTGGAATCGGCGTTGGTACCGTATTGTTTGCGTACGCGGCGTTTGCGTCCACGATCGACGCGTCGTACGATCGAACGTCCATGCGACAAGTCATTTTCGTAGGTATCTGTACATGATCGGTAAGTTTCTAACTTCTGCTGTCCGAATTAATTTCCTAATCAACGACAGGTTTTTCGACACGGTGATCGCAGCCCCACGGAAACTTATCCGACGGATCCGTATCGAGATTACAAATGGCCTGGAGGTTGGGGAGCTTTGACCAAGGTTGTAAGATTCAACTAGTGAAACGAGATGTCGATAGGACAGACGTCGATACGTCAGTTTCATAGAACACGATTGCGTGCCGGTAATCGTAGAATCGTTTCAGGAAGGCATGCTGCAAATGTACACTGTCGGCGAATGGATTCGCAAGCAATACGGCTCCGTAATTAGCAAAAATTATCGATCCGATCTATCGTTGACGCAAAGTAGCTACGCGGATCGCTGCATAATGTCCGCTCAAACTTTACTCGCTGGCTTGTATCCACCGAGCCCCGAGGAACTGTTCGTTCCGAGCCTGATTTGGAGACCCGTTCCTGTTCATTCCACTCCTAGGCATCTGGACAAGGTGCGTGTTTGTTCAATTTCCCTAGGATAAAAAAAACAATGAATGCGCTAGGAGAACAATTATTTTCAGTTGATCACAGTCAAAGCTCCATGTCCGAGATTAGAGGAAGCCTTGAAAGAAGCGTACGCGAATGAATCCACGCGTCCTGGAACTCCATCAGCCGAATACTACCAACAGCTTTCCACTTTTACCGGACAAAATATGACTACAATCACCGACATTGAATTTCTGTACAATACTCTGGAAATCGAAAAACTTCACGGGTTGAAATTAGCCGAATGGACGACAATGTATTACAATGAATACATGCGTGAACTCGCGGCTAGAAGTTTGGCAATATTCACCAGCAACACGTTGCAGAAACGATTGCGAGGAGGTAGTGCTTGCACGTTAATCACTCTTCATATTTTGCCGATCTTCTCTCCTTTCAGGACCATTGCTTAAAGAAATCTTGGGACGCATGCGAGCTTTCAGAAACGGGGAAGATACAAGGCGAGCATATCTTTATTCCGCCCATGATATAACTCTGGTCAATTTGTTAAGAACCATGGGATTCACGAAGGAATATCTGAAACCTGCGTACGGTGCGATGCTAGTCTTCCAATTACATTATACCTCCGACCTTGTAGAAGATGCAGAAGTAAAGGTGCCATTCAATTTCTACTTTACTTTGCATATTGATTTCATTTCATTTCGTTTCATCTCCGTTTCTTTTCCTTCGTTCATTCCAGTTACTGTATCGAAACGACACCCACACGAGCACACCGCATCCTATGGAAATACCAAACTGTACCGCGCCTTGTCTGCTCGGAAACTTGACAAGTTTATGGAAAAACGTGCTTCCCGATAATTGGGACAAGGAATGCCTACTCTGACGGATTTCTCTTCGTTTCTCCGTCTCTGTACCATTTTTTTACGCTTGTACTTACAGCCTCGAACATCTTATATCCGAATACGACCGGTCGTTTTTGCGAAAAGAACGGAAAAAGCCTGTGAAATGATACACGCGTCGCGCAACGCTCTGTGTCATACGAATCAATTCTAATTCGAGCGAAGCCGGTTAAGATTACTAAATTGGCACAAAATCGTTTAACCAGGATGTGTCCGCGTTGCTTACGCAACAAATGACACTGGATGTTTTGCATGTCTCGTTACGCAATACCAGAACGATTATTACAACCAGTCTTTCCGTTGAATTCAAATACTCGAATGTCGATTAAACGTCGTCAAGGTAGTATCGGTATCGTTCGAGATATCGCGCCCTACTCGAACGTTACCGTTCGCATTTCTCATCGAACCTTTCAATTCTTTTTCTCTACACGTTTTACCATACAACTGTATTCTTTCGTTAACGCTCAATTAACACCCGTCCAACGCGTGTGTTTCAACACGATAATTATTGAAGGATGTAATAGTACCAGTGAATCCCGAATATTTCGGGTGTAGTAAATAATTGTACATAGATTTGTAAATAAATGAATAAAAAATCAAATAAGTGGTATCATTTAATTTCAGGATGAAACATTACGATAACACACCGATGTCATCCGTATAAATATAAATGAATCTTTGAACGACAACCTTTATACGAGGAAAAAAAGAAACTTGAAAAATTGTACCAATACATAAAACGATAAAGCGATACGCGTCAAAGTTTCTTATTTGACGTGTACATTCAGAACATCTCATTCGAAACATAATTACCATTCGACTCGACCTACTTTTAGCTATTTTAAATCATTTATATCGTTAAATTGGGAAAGCAAATGCTTTATATATCACGCACTCTTATCTGTCTAATCACCGCTTAGTTACTCTGCTGATGGAATTCATTGCTTTTTGTATTATCTACATTGCGCTTCCGAGCGATTTCGAAATAGTCATTTATATCGCCTCGGATAAGCTTCGAGTTAATATGTATCGATTACACGCGTGAAAGATCTTTGCTCGACTTTTGTCCCTCTTTGCAGGAAATATCTCGTTCTAATATTTACGAAAAAACTAGGAAACGTAGGTAAACGTAGAGTGCATACGCGTGTTACAATTGTGCACGCGCGTTGCCTGTAGAGTCAGAAATGGATCATGGTAGGAGTGTCTATGGGCTGAAGAAAATGGGATGAGAGGAGAGGGGCAATTGTCGGGGTAGCGAGAAGAGCAATGGGATGCGCAAGCCAGAATATCGGTATAGGTTTATCCACAACGTGGTCCGTTGATCGTTCGGGACCGTTCGTTTCTTACGTTGCACGATCGACGTGTCGGACAGCAGAACTTGCTTCGATTTAAAGGATCGATCGACGGATAGGAAATCTTTTCGATAACGATTCGCGTTTATCAGACCGAGCGGCTTCGAAGAATAAAAGGAATTTATTAGATTTCTATCAGTTTTAGTGATTTTTTACCGTTCCGATTACATCATTCCAGCAGAAGTGTACGCTCTGTCAATCGTACCGTATGATAGTGCGCGCTCACGCCTGTCACTCTATATTCTACTATACTGACAGCACAGCGAGAGGTTAGTTTCCTTTTACTTTGAACCATCTTGTTAACTTATTTCATTCTTACCGTTCTATTTCTTTTCGATTTATATTAATAGATTTCCCGATCGAACGTAAATTTTCTTATAAATCTACTGGTTATTTAAAAAAATTGATTAATCATTAAAGAATGAAGAGAACAGCCGTTCCAATTGCAATGTTATCGGTATACAATTCGCCGTACGCTGCGTCATCCTACCTTCTGCTAATCAATCCCGTAATGTTAAAATTTTAATTAAAATTGAATTAAACGTGATACCGATTATTTGTTCGCAGGATCATCGCTTGACTACAGCACGAGATGTTCAGTTGGTTAAGTCGAGAAGAGAGTGGAAAGCAAGACCTCTTTGAAAATGTCACGGAAGGTCTTAAAAAAATATACAAATCCAAGCTACTACCTCTCGAGCAGCACTATCAGTTCCATGACTTTCATTCACCACAACTCGACGATCCGGATTTTGATGCCAAACCTATGATCCTCTTGGTGGGTCAATATTCTACCGGCAAAACTACCTTCATCAAGTATTTGCTAGAAAGAGACTTTCCTGGAATAAGAATTGGTCCTGAACCAACGACAGATCGCTTCATTGCAGTTATGTACGATGAGAAAGAAGGTGTGATTCCTGGGAACGCGTTAGTTGTCGATCCAAACAAACAGTTCAGACCGCTTTCCAGATTTGGAAACGCATTCCTGAATAGATTTCAATGTTCCACCGTTGCGTCTCCTGTTTTAAAAGGGATATCTATAGTGGACACGCCTGGTATCTTGTCCGGTGAGAAACAAAGAGTAAGTATATTTAAAAATATATAACTTCCTACCAGATATCTACTTGTTAAAATAAACGTGTACTTCCGATCCAAAGCTATTTCTCTTTAACATCAGGTTGACCGAGGTTACGACTTCACCGGAGTTTTGGAATGGTTCGCCGAACGAGTAGACAGAATAATATTGTTGTTCGACGCGCATAAGCTCGATATTTCTGATGAATTTAGAAGATCCATCGAAGCGTTGCGCGGGCACGATGATAAAATTAGGATCGTACTCAATAAAGCCGATATGATTGATCACCAACAACTGATGAGAGTATACGGAGCGTTAATGTGGTCTCTAGGAAAAGTTTTACAAACTCCCGAAGTGGCTAGGGTATACATCGGATCGTTTTGGGACCAGCCCTTGAGATACGATGTGAACAAGAGGTAATTTCATTTTTATTAAACGATTGATCGGGATTTTTTCTGATTTTTTAATTGAAAATCTTGCAAATTCTTTGCAAGCCGATCACAGTGGTCATTGTGAGTGTTTATATAGAATAAAATCAAAGATCGGTGGTGTCCTTGTGGTATCTATGAGAGAAATCCGTAAATTAAAACTCGGATTGTTTTATTTTCTTTTGATCGACTTTTAAATTACAATATCGCTCTAGTGTGTTGTATAATAATTATTTTTTCTCGCAGATTGTTCGAAGATGAGGAACAAGATTTATTTAAGGACATGCAATCGTTACCGAGAAACGCAGCACTTAGGAAACTCAACGATTTGATTAAACGCGCACGGTTGGCAAAGGTAAATACTATAAAAATCATTCCTATCAACCACCGGCCTACTGCTAATCGTAATCGATATCGATTACACAATATTCCATAAATGAAGATAAAATTCAATCGTCAACCGATTACTTAACAGGTACACGCTTACATAATCAGCGCTTTAAGGAAGGATATGCCCAGTGTCTTTGGTAAAGATACAAAAAAGAAGGAACTTATCAAACATTTAGGCCAAATTTATGATCAGATACAAAGGGAACAACAAATTTCACCTGGCGATTTCCCAGACTTGAAAAAGATGCAGGAGAGCTTAGCGCATCATGATTTCAATAAATTCAATACTATAAAACCAAAACTATTAGAAGTAGTCGATAAAATGCTCGCCGAGGATATTGCTAAACTCATGGCTATGATACCGCACGAAGAAATTGGTACGACATCAGAGTCACTCGTCAAAGGTGCGGCCTTTATCTCTATCTCATAAAACGCTTTTTAACTATTTACGTTGTATTAATGTTCCAATTAAATATTTTTCTATTTACGATTTCTATCAGGCGGCGCGTTTGAAGGTGTAGAAGACCAAGTAAGCCCGTTCGGATATAAACGGGGAGAAGGTATCGATGCTGGAGCTGGCGAACCAGAATGGATCGTTAACAAGGAAAGAGACAAATACGATGCGATTTTCAAAACGCTTAGTCCTTGCGATGGAAAAATTACGGGGGCAGGTAATTATCTTGTCGCGTTACATTAAAAAATAAAACGCCGCGTTTCCATTTTATATGGCACTTTTTTTATTAACGATATTTATTTAAAATATTTCCAGCGGCTAAGTCGGAAATGGTGAAATCTAAATTACCAAATAGTGTGCTTGGAAAAATTTGGAAATTATCTGATGTCGGGAAGGATGGGCTTCTGGACGAAGATGAATTTGCCTTAGCGATGCATTTAATTAACGTAAAACTCGGAGGTTACGATCTTCCAGCAGAATTGCCGGAACACTTGATACCACCGTCGAAACGAGACGTATAAAAATAAATACCGATCGTATCTATTCGTCTCTCGTCTCATCGTTGATACGTTTGGTACATACATTTGGCACGCACATTACACAATTGTATTTATTGATTAGCCAATAATGCGACTCTAAACACATTGATGAACGTTGTCATTTTGTAAACGTTCTGAAGAATACACTATATTTACGAATACTACGTCAATAAATTATTTTATATCGTTGTTGGACATTTCTTTGCCTGTTCGTTTACCTAAAGACAATCGATCGTTTTCTTTTGCATTTATTATTTACTTTATGACACATACTTTTATTGAGATAATAATTATGACGTAAACATGACTTTACACTTTATAATCGCAATATCGATACAAGGGAAAGGCCTATAATTGAAATAGAAAAACGAACGAGGAAAATGAAGAGATGAGCATTTTAATAAATTCCTATAATAAATGATATTTAAATAATATCTGACGCTAAATCACACTGCATTTGGTATCAGCACTGCCTCCATATATGTAAATGTGTTTTATAAAGAAAATATATTCTTGTTCAATATTTCTTTTGTATTTTATTTAAAAGAGAAGTAATAAAAATTAATTGTAAATTTTTATTTTGTTTATATTAAATACAAAATTAAATAAACGAAGAGAAACCTCTTCAAGTAGCATACAAAGCTAAATGCACGATTGAGAACGTTTAATTACGCTCTAATTAGTCGAAATGTGAGAGAATTAAGATAATGTGTATAAAATACTTTTAGAGAGTTCGTCATACGGATACGTAGCAATAAGAGTATGTAACTATAGATACTATAACTCATCGTGATTAATGCGGGCTACAAAGTCTGAAACGCTACGTTTTATATTTTCCGCCATTGTTCCATTAATTGGAAAACCGTTCATAATCTTTCTTGCACTATACCGAGAATTATATGCTAGTAATGTTGGATATGATCTAATCCCAGCATCGGCACACTCGGTAACATAAATTTCACAATTAAAGCGACCAAACTGTATTGTTTTCTCCGTCAGCTAGAAAAAGAACATCATTAGAAATAGAACTTGCAATCATGTAAATTCCTAGATAATATTATATTTACTTGAGCTACTATGGCCAACTGAGGTTCAAGTTTTTGGCAATGTTCACACCATGGAGCATAAAAATCAACGACCCATACATTTTTATCGTTTAATACCTCCTTCTTTAAAGTCGACGGATTCAAATCCCGTACTTTTCGTGGAAGATACTGGGCAATCCATTTTAATATCGGAAGCGAATATCGTTGTCCATTATACGAGCTAAAAACCATCATCAATCATTTCATTAATTGTTCGAATCAAATTATTTATCAGAAGATATGACCAAAAATTCACTTACTAAAACTTTGTTAAATCTTGATTTTCACTTGAATATAGTCTTATAGTAGGATAACTACGGATTCCTTGAGATGCACACAAATCGGATTCCGCTTCGCAATCGATACTGGCCACTTTTACAAGAGGAAGTGCGGATAAAGAGTTCGCAACAGCAATATATTCGGGCGTTAGCCGTTGACAAGGTGCGCACCAAGGCGCGAAAAATCCCACAATCCAAATAAACTTACCCATTCTTCGACCAAGATGATTTTTGAAATTATTCGAGGAAAGTCGTATCACTGTGTATTATATGAGAAAATTAATAAACTATTATTTTTACGATACACATCGTTTTATGAATATGTCCTGACCTGTAGGATTTCGTAGTTCGCTAATAAATTGAACAACGTTGGCAGCTGTTTTCTGCATTGAAAATCTATGAACATTGGTTCCGTTCACAAGCATCGCGGTTGGATATGAACGAATGTTTTGCCGCTGACAAATTGCGGAGTGTACGGTACAATCTATAGTCCCAAAGCGAACTACAGACTTGTCAAATTCTATCGATGCTTTGCGAACTTCTTTCAAAAAGCTCATGCAAGGAGGACACCATGGCGCGTACCAATCGAGAAACCATGCTCCGTTTTTTCCGTCCAATATGGACATTATCTGCTCTTCATTCAACGCCCATACATTTACCGCTTTAACACTACTATACACAAATTTAGTAATATCATTAGGCACATCCTTTCCGTGGTGCAATTCGAATGCTCCTCCTGATTTAAGAATACCCCACATTGGGTAACGATTTATGCCAAGCACGCTGCAAATACGTGAATGCCTGGCACAGTTAATTTTACCTACAAATTCATTGTAATTTAATAACGATACGACATCGTGAACAACAAAAATAGAAACATTTAATAGAAGATTCAACATTACCTAGCTTAATATCATTAATACTACTAGAAAGCTTTTTTAACATTGGATCTAGTTCAATTATCTTTCCGATATAAAAATATAAAAGCCAACTAGACTCAGATATTTTTCCTTCTTCCAAGTGTTTCTTGATATTCTGTGAAAAATAATAGTTATCAGTAAACAACTACCGATAAGTAATAAATAATGAGAAATACTTGTTTCTTATAAAGAGGAAAGATAGGATAATTTACATAGAATTCGTCAGCATCGAGTTCCTTAGACTCTGGTAAATGCTCCAACAATTTCTCCACCAGTACTTCAGGTTTATCTATATCTTTGAAACGGACAACGCGCCAAGAATTATTACTAGACGCGGACAAGTAAATCGCATTAATATCATACGAATCTGCCACATTCTTGCACTTTTTTTCTTGATCACAAGAAACTATCCTTATATCAATCACGTTTTCCTAGAACAAAAAAGCGTCAAATATAATTATAAGCAATCAAATAATATAACATGAAATATTTTATAAATGGATAATATAATTACAAATATCGCTGCAATTTTGAGACGGTCGGAAGACGTAAAACAGTTTCGATGTGGACCACAAACAAATATTAACATACATTTTGTTGTCCCGTCACTACCGCGCAAAATAAAATTCTCCAATGGCTCGTCCACTTCTTGTATATGAACCTCCAACTTACTTAAAATAAAATTCATAATGGCAGTGTACGTCTTTTCTCCGCTATATCGTACTCCATTTTTTGAATACTGTAATAAAAATTAAAGTGTTACCAATCTTCTAAATTTTCACCATTATTTCTATAATTTGAAATTTACATACCTTTGGATAATACATTAAAGTAGGATACGACTGTATTCGAATTTGATGACAAAGTTGCCATTCATCTTCACAATTTACAGCCCCTATTCTTACTACCCCATCAAATTCTTCTGCAATTTTTCTCCAAACTGGTGCAAGCGTATGGCAATGACTACACATTGGAGAATAAAAATTTACTAACCAGGCTTTTTCTGTATTAATAACATTTTCAACTGCAAAAATAAATAATACATTATCTATGCCATGCCTATAAAGTAATACAAATTTAATTTTAATAAGTAAACCTACAATAATCATTATTATCCAACTTAATAACTTGGGGATCATCATCATATAATTCAAAATTATTTGCATAGTAACTCCAAGAATGATGAGTTCCTCCTCTATTTGCATTATCAAGACCATCCTCTCCATAGTTATCATAGGTTCTTCTTAAAACTGGATCTTTCAATATTTCATAAGCTTTTGTCAGTTTAATAAATCTCTCATGAGCTATGGGATCATCCTATAATATACCAACATAATTATACTCATTTTAAATATATCAATGCTATTTAATTTTAATATGTTGCTAATATTAAATTAGATGCAGAAATGCTTAAAACTATCAATGAAGTTTTATGTTCTAATTAGTAAGTATACATGAATTATTAGGAGTGTAGACACTGACTATGTGCAGTTAAAATCCTTGACTTACGTTAGATAAGAAGTTGATAAGAGAGTTGCACTTTCACGTACATTATTTTTGTCAGGATGTTCTGTCACTGCCAATTTCTTGAAAGCCCTTCGAATTTCTTTTAAATCAGCTGTTCTGCTTACACCAAGAATTTCATAATACTCATTTCCCATGCTCATACGTATTACATCAACAATAACAAGGAAAATATTTATAATAATTCCCCTGTATCTGAAAGATTTTCAATTTTAATTAAATTTTATTATTAAAGATTCAAAAAATAAATGTAAAAGTATCAGAAATGGTATGAAAAATTAAAATAATTTTATTTGCAAACTTCTAACCTATTGAAAGGACTTTGTTATTTTAAAACACATACTTCTATGACTGATTTCTATGATTTGAGTGATATGGAAACATTAATTAATATTCCCTTTATTCCTTGTAACAGCATGATTTCAAATGTATACATACTTACATATTTTTTATAATCATTTTGTTCCTACAATTTTTTATTACAGTTATAATTGGTTATAATTATGCCTATGGGTATAGCACCATAAAAAGGATCACGAAATGAGTGGGTTGTAGAGAGACTACATTCATGGCGAGAAACCTAAATTTAGCTGTAAATTTTCTCGCAAGAGCGTTACATTTGCATGATTTTTGAGTATCTTAATGTTACATAGTTTTAGGAAATATTCTCACGAGTAAAATTACCGGGAATTACCGGGAATTGCCGGGAATATTGCGCAATTGCGTTGTTTTGCTAACAAATAATCATTATTGTTTCTTGTGAAATTTAACAGCTATTGTTCAAAATGTATTCCCTTACCGAAGGAGCATTAGATGTGGGTTTCACTATTAACTGTATAAAGTTTATTGTTTATGTTTAAATAATATGTTTAATTATGTATGCTTTTTTCAGAAAATCATAAATGGCGTTGATGTTGATAAACCAATACTGCAAATACTGGTAAATAAATCATATAGTTTACATAATTTAGTTGAAATAGCTCATATGAACATATTATTTTGTAGGGTCATAAAAAATTGGCAAGTTCAAGCAGTGGAGAACGTTACAGGCTACTTGTGTCTGATGGGAAAAGAGTAAACTCGTTCACAATGTTGGCTACTCAATTAAACTCAATGATATCAGACAACATTTTGACTGAATTTTCTATTTGTCAGATTAATAGATACGCAATAAGTATGGTGAATAATGCTGGAAAGCAGAAGTATATAATATTTATTTAAAAATTTTTATTTTATGTAATTATAAATCATATAATATTAAATTTCATGTTCTTTAGACGCGTAATGGTGATATTAAATATTGAAGTAAAAGTTCCTGGTAAAGAGGTTGGACATAAAATTGGAAATCCAACAAGTGCAGAGTCTGAAAGTGATTCTAAACCTGTGCCAT